TAACGTCTAACGATAGCTCAAGTTTCTATACCAAATCAGAATAGCAAGATAAAATCAACACCCATCATTCTTCATATCATGTAATATATGACACTGAAATATGACCTAGTGAATAAATATGGTAGTGTTTGATATCAGAGGGTGGCAATAAGAAGCGACTACAGTTTATTAGCAGATAGTACAGATCACAAAGCTAAAAACACATCGAGCGGATTCGGAGCAGATAAGCGAATATATCTATATGCGAATTAATAGTCACATCAAATAAAGGCATGTTGAATCAAAGTACAGCTTGTTTTTATAATACAAGCATATTTATATATGAGGAATTCAGAATAATACATCTAGCTATATTTAAACGTTCAAGATTTGAGTCCGACAGATTTTATTATTTATTTATTTGAACACATATATATTGGTACAAAAGGGCACCAAATATATATGCGCCACACTTTGTGTAAGGGCTGTGATACTGCCCGGGTGCCCAGACCAAAGCAGGTGGTTTTCTTAGGGCGTCACACCCGAAGTCTTTGACCTAAAAATCTGATCTACAAGGCGGTGGAGCATCGCAAGGAGATGCAGTCCCATGGTAGCCGGTGACCAACGATTAGTGCACCATTGATTTGGGATCCGGTTAAAGCGCCGTACATTCGCTTTTCGCCCTCTCATTTTCTTAAACAACACCCCCGCCACGAGAAGGCCGTGAGTAGGACTTCACTAGCAGAGGCTGTATACGCGTGGCCATGTGAGAGCATTTCGAGAGGGAGGGCAAGCCCACCCCACTTTCGGCCGTACCACATTTGGGGGCGACAGAAATATGCGTTGGCTCTTGTAAGCTTTCAAATATACACATTTACTCACCTATTATAGCAACTCTACTGATACAATGAAATAAACTTGTTACAATATCGATAATATGATGTCAGAATGGTAGGGGGGGACTTGACAGGGATTAATCGTAAAAGTGTTACTGTATGTATCGAACTAACCAAAAATTATAATGGAAGATAGAATTGCTGTTGATTATCGATCCAATATGAGAATAATTTATTCAGATATACTTATCAATCTAAATGTGAATATTGATTTATAATATAACCATTTTCGATCGACCCATTTTTATGAAACTGTTAGCTTAACAAAGGTGTTTGTTATGTTTATATTTGGTACTGTTTTTTTGTATGTTTAGGTTGTACAAAGTTTCACTAATAATAAACGTGAAAATGGAGATATTGTTGATTGTACACTTAGTGGACGAGGTGAATGGATTTATTGTGTAGCTGAAGATCAGTCATTGTATTGTTTCAGTGTTAGATCTGGTGGAAAATTAGAACATACTTTACATGTAAGTTCATTCAAAAGGTATTTGTCAAATACCTACAGTGTTTTTTTTTAAAAAAAAACTTAGGTTTAGTCAATATAACACCATAGAGTTGTAGAATTTTATCTAAATCACTAATCAACCTAAGTTAGAAAACCATTGAGAGAGACAAGAAGCGTTGAACAGCTATTTCGTCCTAGTATAGGACTCACTCGCATCCATGAATCAAACTAAGAACTTTCGGTCTCGTGCACAAACGCTTAACGTCTAAACCACTGAACTTTAATCAATTCATGATACTGTGCAACCATCTTCCATTGTCTTCAGTGGGTACCTTCCTCACATACCAACAAAGCTGAACTCCACGGGTCATAGCTTTTTATTAGAACTCCCAGGAATTTCCTCTCGAAACTAAACAGTATGTTAGTATAGAATCGTGATAATTGTTCATAGTCTCGCCTACATATAATACGATATATTCATAATGATTTATTTTCTTTATACTTTTAGGTTCATGATAAAAGTATAATTGGATGTGCTCATCATCCACATCAGAATTTATTAGCAACATATGCAGAAGATGGTTTATTAAAACTTTGGAAACCTTAATTTACCGTTTAAGTGTTTTTTGTACAAATTTTTTTTTAATTTTTTCAAAGAAAATATAAAAAAATACTTCACACTATCATTTGTCCATCTTATGCTATTTTCACTACCAACATAAATAATTAGTCCTTTGGTTCAGTTATTATTAAATCAATGTATCATAAGCGAGCATTCTAAATTCATGTGGAGATTTCGTCAAGCACCAGCCCATTTGTACTGATCAGACCTCCAAGATAAGCGAAATTGTCGAAGTGTTCGACTACATCAATCCCTATTCTTAGTTCAGGTGTTGACGGAGGCCAGTCCTGAAGCAACAACTTGCGGATAGAGGGATGAAAACACATCTCAAAAATTCTGGCATTGTTTCTCAGTCCTATCAAAAGACTCTAAATTTTATCAGCGTCTTCACCAAACGAGACTGTCATCTGTGTATTCTAAGTCCATAAGTGAACCTCCTGGAAGGAGATCAACGCCCGAAAATTCAGTCGTTATTTCCATCAGTAGGTCCATGATGAACTTAAACAAAAATGGAGATGGTGGACAGCCTTGTCGGACACCACATGAGGTCACAAAATCAAATGACAGTTCGCGAATATGTGATCGATACAGCCACGACCAGGTCTGAAGTTATCCTGATTTTCTCGTGTTTGCAGTTCACGAATCTTAGTTAGGCCGACGTCCGACAATTATTGAGGCTAGTATTTTAGATGTTATGTTAGCCAAACTAACCCGTTGTCTATGGTTATTACAGAGTGATTTGGATTATTTCTTATATATTGGGACAATCAATGACTGCAACCAATCAGATGGGATAACATCCAGTTTGCAGATTTTAGCCAAAATATTAGTCGACGTAATCGCTGAAACTAGATCACCATCCTTAAAGACCTCTGGAATGAATCCATCTTGACCAACTGCTGTTCCTCGTTCTAGATTAAATATGGCTTTCCGAACTGCATATAGGGTCGGGGAGACCTACTTAAATGATTCATTGAGGCTTTTTGGGAATGGTGGGTAGTTGTAAAGTAGGTGAAGGCCAGTTGAACTTCTCCTTAAATTGTTTCGCTGATCTTTCGAAACATCTACGCTAAGAGTAAATAAGTGTCGTCTTTTTTTTCGAGATCATCTCACTTAAATTTAACTTCTTGATTTCGGTTTCCTTTATTAGTGTTATAATTCTCTCTTATTACCCCCCAGCTATTCCTATTGCTTAGTATTCTCGACACCAATTCACTCGACAAATCCCCAAATCAGAATACGTTTGAACAGGAAAGAGGTTATATTTCAAATAACAAGGTTAGATGGAAGTAAGAAGCACAATAGGAAAAACGTTAGTATATTTGTAGTTTTTACATGAGATGATTTCTAGAGTATTCTTCGAGTATCGACTAGCGCTGACTGAATAAGAATCAGCCAATCAGCGTGCGCCAACTCAATCGTGCATTGAGCATGCTTCAATCTAATCTATATCCCGCTAACAATTATTCTGAAAAAATGTCTGGTGGTACCTACAATAGCTCCCTTTTCTATCTCGCTTTCGTTCCCCACCGCTGCTCATGGTCGTTCTTTAGAATTTTGGTTATCCTAGATCTGATTTGTGTTCTCTCGTCATCGTGTTCGGAGCTATCTGGCAATGGTGAGTTGTTGTAGAGTAGCTGAAGGCCAGTTGAACTTCTTAAATTGTTTTGCTCATCGTTCTAAACGTCTGGAATGAGAGCAGAGAAGTGTGTCATCTTTTTCCGAGATCATCTCACTTACATTTGACTTATTAATTCCAGTTTGTTTTATTAGTCTGTAGAGCTGTCTCGTGTTACCTACAGTCGCTTCTTTTTCCATCTCTTTTGCTTTCGTTGCCTACCACTGTTCACGGAGTCTGATGGGATGTGTTTACGCGAATCTATCAGTGCAACAGACTTAGCAGAAGTCATCTGGTTCTTAGTCACTCTTTGGTTCAAATCACAAGTAGATGTCGTTGCTGTTTCCACAGCTGTTTGTATATCTTTCCAAGCAACATCTGGGTCAGCCTCGTTTTCAGAACTACCTAAGTGTGACCTCAGTTGATTCAAAGTGAGCTATTTATAGGTTTAGGATTCTTGCGAGCATATTACTCTTGAAGTCTATGTCTGTACGTCTCATCTTTATCATTTAAAGAATTAATCATCTCACGAGGTTTGTACTTCATGCTTTTAATTCAACTTAAACGGAATGTGTCCGCTAAGACAAAAATAAATGTTGGTTAAACGAAGGGCTCCCAAAGACACAACTGATGATTATTTGGGGAACTAAATATTTGCGACTGTGCACATTTGAGGGCAAATTCACTGGAGCAAACTGTGTCACATTTTTGTTTACAAATTTTGATACATGCTTATTTTTAGTCGATTTCCATGGAACATTAGATAAGTAATTAATCCCCATTTCGATAAACGGGAACTCAACTTTGCAAACATTTCAAGTGGGTTTTCTATATTTTGATATTCTTGACAGTTCATCGGGTTTTACTAACAGTTCCTCTGTATCTGAAATGTTTAATCCATATCATTAGTAAATTCGATTATTAAGGAAAAGTTTTGTAAAATGTATTCCAAACCACTTAATGTAGAAAACAAATAGTTCATTCAGATGGGATATTTGTAGACTGTATTTGACATTCAAGTATCATCATACATTTGTCATGTTCACATACATTCTTTATTCACAATACCATCTCGGAAATATAGCGCTAGAACTCATGGACATCTTACTACTCATTATTAATTAATTACGAACTTATACCATAGTTCTCTTTCACACATAGTGTGGCTATACTTATTTTATAACCTTAGGTTACAAATCCTAAAGTAATTCGCAGTTGATGTTTAAAGTGTATTTAATCCATCACGTCCCAGGGAATGAAATTTACATGACAAAACTGCTTATGATCTTGTTACAATTGTGCTAACGAATGACAATTACTATTACTATAGCAAAAGAATGGACTGGGTTGATTTACACAATTGTATTGATCAATGTGAACACAACTTGAAAATCCTTTTCTATGAAAAACAGTGATACCATAAATAAGCAATAACAAGTGCAATTTTCAATTCATAGTAATGGAATTTATTAATCTTTTTTATTTGTACATTCATGAATTTCTGGACCAATGATCGATTCCAATTTAGATTTAACGAGTACCATAATACATTTATGCACTTCTTCGATAGTTTTATCTGTTGCTTGAATGAAATGCCAAAGTCCAACTGAATCATTTTCATCATTATTATCTTTATTATCTAATTCAACATCTTTGGAAATCCGGACATAATTCTCCAGAACACGCTTTTGAAAATCATCATTCTCATATCGCTCATTTCCATAACCATTCCTAGAACTTAATTCGTCTAGATTTCCTGGTGTTAAACATATCACTAAGTCAGGTTCTACAAGACCTTTTTCCATTTCCCAACACCATTCCCAGTTTGGAGTCGGTGGAGATTTAGCAGCTGTATAAGCGATCCCAGAATATATATATCTGTCTGCTACAACAGGTATTCCATTAGAAATGGCCTTCCGGATTTCAGACTGCCTTTCCCATCTAAAAAGATCGGAATTGCATGATATATATATATATATATATATATATATATATATATATATATATTGGCTGGAATCATAATAGATCACATTGACAACGATTGCCTTAGACTAAGTAATATGAAATACACAGCCTGTGATGAAAAGTCCAAAACATGTAGTAATCGTATACGAATTTCGTGGTTGTGAACCATCTAATTTACTAAAATATTCGATCAGCTATCGAATTACATGAAGCACAGGGAAAATGCTGACTTTCAACAAAAAAAATAGGGAAGGCGCCTAATGAAAACAGTTATGTAGTTCCACGCAAGTAAGCAACTCACCCCAAAAGTAATGGAATACCACTGACATGCTGCTACAATAGAATACATAAAGGGAGTAGTCAATTTAATTTTAAACTTTTAATTCTAGTGTGATTTGGCTCATACTTTTATCAAACGTATCATGAACACTACAAACATATTCAAGTAGTGAGTTTAGAAAATTTAAAAGCAAGGACTAGACTACTACTTGAGATTTGTCCAATGAGGATTTTTTTATAGATTTGTATTAGTTTACAACCTAAGAATGCATAGCATTATCTAATTAGCAGGAATAAAACTTGATAACTAGGGCTCAATTGGTATTGCAATACCAGTTTGTCCTTTCCTTTATAACCACTATGATAGATTCGAAAAAATCTCTCATGTACTGAGTTATTGACGAATATTTCTCACTGAAATTGTAATTATTGGTTAAAAACCCACAGTATATAGTACTAAATTAGGATCGGCTGCGCTTAATGCTGAAGAAAGGTTGCACGCAACATCCTGTCATATCATACAAGCTGATTTAACATCTAGCTACTGTATTTTCAGTGTTTGTTGCAAGTTTGGTTTGTTTAATACTGTTACATATTCAACAACCGTAGTTAGGGTCGTACTCATTTAATTAATCCATGATTACGCACATACGTATCTACTGTCAGGAATACATAAATAATAGAGTAATAATCAGTAGCAATTAGTTTAGGTACATAAGCATCAATAGAATTAGTAATCATCATTAAAAAAACAAACTAACCTATTTGCAGTGAACAATAAGTGTAATGCATGTTTATTAATATCACCATTCCCACTTAAATACGAATCTAGTTGACGTCCCAGAGGAGTATCACGATCCGGGAATTTGACAGACAGAGTCTCTTTATGTGTGATTTCCGACAAAGCTTTAGCTAGAAGTAATGCTTGTGTTGTTTTTCCTACACGATCTGCTCCTTCAAGAACAACAAAAATCCCATGAGACATATGTCTAGCCATCCTTCTGAAAGTGATAAGATATTTTTTATCATCAATGCCGATAAGAATATTAAGATTTTTAAAACCTATTCCAAAGTTTTGATGAATGGCTTTTTCCCCGTAAGTGTGCATTTTCATGTAATCTTCCATAGCAGAAAGATGATAGCACGGGTTGTGATTATTTGAGAACGACGCTTTTAATACACCGTTACATTTTTTAAAAATCCCATGTAATCATCTTTTGGCATTAACAATAATGTTAATATATTAGCAGACACCGATTAACTCAACTGTTTTAAGTAGGCACTTCAGCATTCACTAGGAACAAGAAAAAATCGACTACTTTGATAAATCTAGGCATTGATAAAACCTCATTTTTCTATGTGTGACGACATTCAGCAATCTCAAAGAAACTATTTGTGTAATTTAATGGGTTATTTTAATGAAAGCTTCGATAAGTAGAATTTTGTAGGTTTCGATTACTAGAATATGGGAACAACCCCTTCAATGTCCTAGCACCAGTAAAGGCCTGAGACAAAATAGCCTGTCTTGTTGTGAGAAAACTGTCTAAAAGTTATTGCTTGAGACATTCTGATACGTATCTGAATAACATGAAGTGCTGAGAACTTACGAAAAAAGCCTATCCAAAGTACCTACGACATTATAAGGACAAGTGACAAACTGAGGAGCTTCAAACAGTTATGCGAAAGCTACCTAAGTTGTGGTATGACATACAAGGAAGTTAACTGATATATGAGACCTTTTGCGTATAACACAAGTGGAACGATCAAAAGCACTACATACAAAAGTTTTAAAAAATTAGGAAGCTTTATCATTTAGTTTGGTGTCTAAATCCATGTCTATCAAAATAGGATAGAATTTGAGAATAATCCTAGCTTAGTTTCCTAGCTTTTACAAATCAGAAAACCTCAAACGCCTTACTTGGATGAGTCATTTTTCCCAACGCCCTTCAAATTTTAATGACTATTACATATAACGTAATAGTAGAGTACTCTACTACTGGTTTCATGATGATCTCAAAGCAAGTTAAATTCCTCTTCGCTATTTACAAGAGTAAGGTTAGAGCATATACTGATGACGATCACTCACATCCTCGAACTCCACACGCCGAACGTGTAACTGACCTAATTTATGACACAGCAAAACATACTCAAGTTCCACCTAGTGAACCTAACAGTAAATTAATTTTTCAATTCTGTATGAAAAACATTTGACGTCTTAAATTTCATTTGAGTGTGTTTATCAATATATGCCCAAAATACCTTAGCCGCGCTATTTAAAAGAGGTGGTTTTAAACTCAAAACTGTTACGTTAACCTATTGTATCGCGAATCGGAATAATGGTCATATTTACATTCATGTAGTCATTGTATTTGACGTATTACGATATATTTTTTATTAAAAAACTGGACTAAGCTGTGAACTTCGCTCTAATTGTAATTTTTAATTGTCACGTCCGACTGTATTATGCCGGAAATGCATTACATGCTGGAATGATGTCCTAAGTCATAGTACGTTTAATAACGTTGTCGATTTCTTTCAAGTGGAACGTCGATAAATGTTACTGGAGGAATGTTTGTTGTGTTGTAAACTATGATTTTATGAGTTAAATTATGCATTCAAGACAAGAAAAACTATCATTATCAGACGCCGATAAGTATGCATGTGTTCTAGAATCTGACGAAGGGTGAATATGTGGTCGCTTCAGCCACGATCAGGTCTGAAGTCATCTTGATTTTCTCGTGTTTGCAGTTCACGAATCTTAGGCAGACGTCCGATAATTATCGAGGCTAGTATTTTAGATGTTATGTTAGCCAAACTAACCCGTTGTCTATGGTTATCACAGGATGATTTGGATTATTTCTTGTATATTGGGACAATCAATGACTGCGACCAGCCACATGGAGTTACATCCAGTTTGCAGATTTTAGCCAAAATATTAGTCGATGTAATCGCTGAAACTAGACCACTAACCTTAAATACCTCCGGAATGAATCCATCTTGACCAACTGCTCTTCCTCGTTTTAGATTAAATATGGCTTTGCGAACTGCATATAGGGTCGGGGAGACCTACTTAAATGATTCATTCAGGCTATCTGGGAATGGTGAGTTGTTGTAGAGTAGCTGAAGGCCAGTTGAACTTCTTAAATTGTTTTGCTCATCGTTCTAAACGGCTGGAATGAGAGCAGAGAAGTGTGTCATCTTTTTCCGAGATCATCTCACTTACACTTGACTTATTAATTCCAGTTTGTTTTATTAGTCTGTAGAGCTGTCTCGTGTTACCTACAGTCGCTTCTTTTTCCATCTCTTTTGCTTTCGTTGCCTACCACTGTTCACGGAGCTTGACGGGATGTGTTTACGCGAATCTATCAGTGCAATAGACTTAGCAGAAGTCATCTGGTTCTTAGTCACTCTTTGGTTCAAATGACAAGTAGATGTCGTTGCTGTTTCCACAGCTGTTTGTATATCTTTGCAAGCAACATCTGGGTCAGCCTCGTTTTCAGAACTACCTAAGTAAGACCACAGTTTTTTCTGGAACCTATTTAAAGTTTTCTCATTCTAATGGGTCTTGTTATTGTGACTTTTCTGCGTCCGGTGAGGTCCAAGAATATGTCTGCTGGTATTTGAGCACGTCCGGAATTCAAGCAGATATTACAGAATGAGCGACAATCTCCTATCGACTATTCAAAACGATGACTGATGGCAATAATAATTTATTCTCAAATAACAGTTTGTTACATAACGCATACCAGTTTAGATGCTAAGTCAAGTTTTTACAAGAAATACAATTTGGTCTGTTTGAGTCCACCGTTGGTTTAGTGCAGGAGATCGATATATGATACAATGTCTCTCCTTATGCTTAATATTAGTGTTTGCCAAAAAAAGACGATTATCTGAACTCGGTTGCAGCAGGACTTCACCATTACCTGTTCGCTGATCTTGAATACCAAATTACCCATCTAAATGTCTTTCTGTTTGGTTTAATCTGCCTACCTGGGCATCATAGTCACCAGTCAACGAGAACTAGCCATCAAGTTGCCAGGTGTATCTGGTCAGCCTTCTGTTTAGGCTGGAACGTACTTGACGTACGCGTCTCCCCAAGGTCGTGGTTTACAGCAAACGCTGTACGAGTCTACTTTATAACAACTATAAACTTAATAAGTTCGGAAGCATACTGTGCGCCAACAAATGTTGTAATTTGTAGATAATGCGTGTAAAAATGGCGTGTACGTGCTCATGCAGAAATATATTATTATTACTAGGATCCTGTATGTGTTTTTCGGAGGTACAGCATACATCAATGGTACGAGATTCCAGGGTCTTCGCCAAGAAGGCCTGTTGGCCAGCATGATACATGGTGAGTAGGTTGAAGACTCCAATGTATAGTTTGGAGGGAAGTTTCAGTAGACCTGAGACAGCGTTTAGCGTACTAGAATCCTTGGCCATTGTGACACTTGAGGAGGAAGTCAAAGGAGGAAGTTTATAGTTGAAAGTCGACATAGGAAGAGTAACAGGAATCGAAAGGGGAAACTGGTCACGGATTCAATAACCTTACTTGAGTTAGAGGCATGAGAGAGGTAATCACTTCTTGGCTTCACACGATGTAAAAAGGTCCTTCTAGTGATACTTGAAAATGAGAGAGGGTTATAGGTGGTTTTCCAAAATACCAGAAGCTAAATGAAGGCGTAGGACGAATTCAAAAGTTCCTTACATATGTTTTCGCTGGTATATCACAAGGATGCTGAAAGAGAAAGGGAAAAAGGGAAGGGCGAGAAGCAGGACAGACCTTGTCAGTGGCTGGTAAGGTGTAGTGAGTTGAGGTGGAGTTATTAGTGAGTAACTACTCGAACATATTCCGTGATATAAAGTATATTTTTATACATGTATATTTCAAAAGGTTAAAGAGTACAAGCCGAAAGTATGGATAAAGGACTGTATAAATAAAAGACATTCAAGAGAGAAGAAATTCTAAGTGTATGCATATGTTTAAAATGTTATAAGGAAAATATAGTGTTCGGATACACAGGCAGCTTTCTTCATGCCAATTATTATAATTTTTTATTCACTTTGGCTTTTGTAGAGTCATGAGTGAGCCCCATTAAGCGTAATGGTCCGTTCTGTAATAGGATTTCTCAGTATGACGTGAAACCAGTTCAAGTTTACGAACATGAATCGAAGAGGTATGAAGCATAGAGAACTATCATCAATGCCATTAGTTAGTTACATCCCACCACACTGTAGCAGGCTGTAATTTAACAAAACGTTCTGCTCTACAGACGTGGTTGTCTTCCCAAAATCACTCTCGCCGCCCTCACTCCTTTTTTAATGTTAAACACTCTGACCCCTGTGGTATGTTTTAATATATTGCTATAATCTAAGGTTGTGTTGCTCACGCTGATGAAATATTCTGTCCCTGCTTATCACATTTTAAAAGCAAATTAGACAGCTGAAGCTATGTATTGTAAGTTGGATATTCATTTAGTATACCACTCTGACATTACGTTAACTGATGGCACGGATTTCACGATACTGGTCAGATTATATATACTTAAAATGCTAGGGATATATAACTCATCAAAGAATATTAAAAAGGAGGGTTGGGTCTGCTAAATCCATGAGTAAAACGATAGATAGATGAGATACCAAAACCGATCACTCTTAGACCTCCTCGTCGAACGACCGTTTCACTCTAGAATGGTACTCCCCAGCAGTACACATCCATACAGGACACAAATACGGAAACTTCGGTCTCCGAACGTTTAATACTAAGGCGTTCGAGCGCGAGATCAAAGGACCTGGATTCGCATACCACATGCACGATCGTACATAGACACTACTGAGGAGTCTCATACCGGGTGTATAACGGCAATCAGGACCTTCAAGTTTTCGATGGCAGCCCAACACCTTTCGGTCTGTGATCTCAATTCGAATTCAACAATCCCTATAAACTTATACTGAGACAAAATACCTTTTAAATGTCTATGAATTCTTGGTAAAATTTTCAAACTTCTATAGCGTCAACCAGAAGGAACTCACGATAATTCAAAACTGTATAAGTTTCTTATAACTGATCATAGTGGGGCAGCATCCATAGGTTCAGTGAGTTATCTGTCTACTTGAAACAGAAACTAAATACGAACCCTAGAACTTAGGGAAAAGTAATGCAATATTGAGCACCAAAGGAAGTCGGAATCTAGATTTGAGGGGTAGAAAACAGTGGTATAACTGACAATGGATGGCGATAAAAAGAAAACCATAAATTTTTACATTTGACTATGCAAATGTGTATGACAGTGGAGGATCGATTTTTCATGATCGGTCAAGATATTAGGCGGTGCATAAAAAGCTCCTCAGAGCTAGGCGGAAGTTGTACGAATAATTGACGAAACCGTTTAGGGTCTATAAACACAGTTACTGGTCTTTTGATCCGAAGGATAGTGTCTGGTACGGATATATATTTTAATTTATGGGTATTGTAAAATTTTAACAGCTTAAATCACGAACTGATCCTAGGTAGGCACAAATAGAAAGAAATATTTAATCGCTGTTAGTTTATAAATAGAATCAGGGAGGCTCAGAGAAAATATGAAGTGCAGTTGGCACAACCTGCAATAAAGAATCGACTCTCGTACGAAAATTAGAGAACAAGGATGCAGCATTGAATTCTTAACCTAGCCAAGGAAGTGAATGGTTTTGAAATGGTAGAAGACTGTTTGGGGGCGTTTTCACTCAGGAATCTTTTCTAGACTAAGAACTAGATCTAAATACAAAGTCACTAAGCCTCCTGCCTACAGTGGAATTTGACCGAAACGATGTGTTTAAGGCTCTTAGCACTTTAGACAAAGAGAGGCCAATAGGATAAGATAAAATGCACCCCAAAACCCCGAGACGGTACACAATATATTCTAGCCCCACTAAGTACCATATTCAATATGTCACTTAACCAAGGTATGTTAACTGGGGAGTGGAAAGGCGCAATCATTACTATAGTGCATGAAAAGGGACCAAGACCACTTCCATCGAACAACAGACCTGCCGGCCTTACCAGTGTCGTAGTTAAAATACTGCAAAGAATAGTCGAAAATACCATAATGAAAGTTGTGGAAACCAAC